GTCCTTGTCATATCGACGGACGAACAGGAGTATATATATAAACATACAGCTGTTTGCAGTAAACAAATGCTAACATCTGTTCAGATCTGAATAGCTCCACATATATACCAGGGCGGAACCACTTTGCCAAAATTCAAAATGACAGTTTTTCTTTTGGTTGTTCTTTTCCTACCAATATTGCTTTTGCGTAATATTCCTCAGCACTAACAGAAGCTTATAGAGGTTCCACTGCAGGGTTTAATCATTATATGACCTTGAAAGCTTTACTATCCCATGTAATGACAACTTTAATCTTACCATTACATGGGAAAGTGCTTCCTTCCTTTCACACACATGCATGGATCTCCATGCTAGCTATTTATTTTCCCTTCTGTGTGGTGGCAAACTCACTTTGACCAAATAACACCTCAAGGGTTTGAGTGAGAAATTTAGTGTCTGACTTTATTAAATATGTGACCAAAATTCAGTACCTGTGCAATTTGCTCTGATAATTTGAATTGAAAATATAATTAATTTCCGAGCTATGAATGATACCATATTTATTTTCATACATCTCAGATTTTTTTTTCTCCAAAAATAGAAAACAACAGTTAACCAAAGCTTGAGATTAAGATGGGGATATTGTCATCTTAGAAGGATCAAATTTCTCCTAGAATATCCTTGTAAAACTTAAATGTTTTTGTCACTCGTTTTAGAAAGTAAATTTATCAGTCTGTAAATGTATCAAAGTCTTTATTTAATGTAATATTTGATGATTATGGCTACGATGGAGTTTCTCATTAAGTTAGAATTTTGCATATCCATCACAAAGAATATTAAAAAAAGAAATGTTAGTTTTCTGAAAAGCAGACAGGTGAATGAACCCTAGCAGATCTGTCCTGGATTTGATCCAAGGCAGAGATGAGTTTGCGTTAGACAGGATGTGGATTGGCTGGTCCACTCCACCTGTCAGAACCACTTGGATTTATTTTAAACCACTCAGTACAAAGGAAATGATGGAGGACTTCCAGGGGGGCGTGTTTCAGCTCTGCTGATCTGACCATCCTCAACAGAACTGCTCTGAATAACATAGATGTCTCCCTAATCAACACTGAAGACATTCCCTAGACCAATACCATGCACATGTGCACCATTTCAATCTATCCTTATCTGACTTCTTATATATTGGAAAATCTTCATTTAGAGTTAAGACAAAGTAAAGTCAAAAGCCTTTATGCAAAAACTTTGCAAACTTCTCTAGTTTTGAAGTTGGATCAGATCTGTAAAAAAAAATACTTGGCTTCTACTTGCATTAAATTCTTCAGTGATATAAGGAGACCATCAGCCTGTGGCTATGCTACGGTCTAACTGAAGTACAGGTTGTTTTGATGCTGACCTTCAGGTCATCTGCATTGTTGGATCTTATGTCTCTCATCTTCCTCTCTATAATTCTTCATAGAGCTAAGGTCAAGTCAGTTTCCTGGCCAAGCAGCCATAGTAACACAATGGTTGTTTAACCAGCTTTTGGTGCCTTTGGCCATGTGGGCAGGAACATTGTTCTGCAAGAAAATGCATGTAGTATCTCCATAAAGCTTGGCAGCTAGTGTCTCCATAAAGCTTGCCAGTAGAAGGAAACAAAGTGCTCTAGATTTATGAGTTTATGTTAGACATCAAAAACCTAATGGGCCGACATCAACCGAAGAAATGGCAGCAATCATAACTGACAGGACGGTTCATAGAGGCTTCCTTTCTTTTCATTACACTCTTTCTACAGAGCCTTATGGTGCATTCAGTCCTAACGTGGTAAACGCTGTGATTTCCACGAGCCCCATGGGAGTTGACCACTGTGCATTTCAGATGCAGTGTTTACACCCGGGACAGCGTAATCAAATAGGAGGAGCTTCAACTGCGCGAAGCTGAGACCCCACCAACGTGGGAAAAAAACTCAGCAAATAGACTGAATGGTTATTGCTTCTTTAGTGCAGGTCTGTGCATTTAAAATGGTCATTTGTAAAATTGAAAACATAAATAAAACATAGTTTTTTGTGTAGCATGTTTCAGAGATATTAAAGATTATTATTTTAGGTCTGATCCGGTCTCAACAAACCATTCAACATTCATGAAAACTTTACTTTCATTTGAAAAGAGAACTATTTAAGGTTTTTGGGTTTTTTTCTACTGAGCTCAGGAAACACAAATATATAACTCTATATGTTATGAAACTTTATATCAGTTTTAATTTCTAAAATGAGTGATGGGAAACTTAATAACCTGATTGAAATGTTTTAGATGTACCTCCTCATGCAGCAGGATTTTTTGTCAGGGGAAGCAATGCATGCATCACTGTCAACAGGCTCTCTTTTCCAGCATACAATTTGTTCCTCCTCCTCCAGAAATACTGCTGCTGAATTGATCCAAACGTCTCCAGTTGTGATTTACTTCCCCAAAGAAAGGAATGCCAAAACCTATTGGCCTTACTCATACAGTTTGGAGTAAACTAAAGCTGTCTTTTTTTCTGCCGTCACCAAGTCTTACTGTGCATCTTTATAACTGAGAAGACGGATTTTGACCCCCTATCTGATAGGAATATGACTGCAGCCTTTGACAGTATCTTTATATTCAGGTGTCGACTCTATTTCTTTAACTTTAAGCTATTATTAGAAAGTAAGTACAAGAATTAAGAAGTAAGTACAAGAATTATGTATTCTTTGCCTTGTAAGTTTTACTTTACCTTGTGTTTAAAATAAAAGGTCACCATCAATAGTCCATTTATTTACGTTGTTAGATCTAAACCACACCTGTTGTATTTATTAAAGGCCTTGACTGGTTGAATAGTGCCAGATCCTGTTTGATTTAAAAATCTGTTCCTTTAAATAGACTTCTACTCAGAGTGAAAGACTTTGAGATCGTAGCATTTACAGTATTATACATAGGACTATGTGTTACATTTTAAAACAATCCTTCAGATATCAGTGTAGGTGTTCAAATAGTTTATGTTTAATGCAAACAGCTTGACAAAGGTCTAAATTTGCAGTAAGGGTTAAATTCATCTGCAACTGTACCGCTTTGAAAGAAGAAAATAATCAGAGAGAAACTTAGAACGTAGAAAAAAAACAAGGAAAAAAACAAGGAGGGAAAAATAGACTGAAGTTAACCTGTAGAATATCTCTGTGTCTCTGGAGGGTGTGCATTAGTGCAGCATTAAGAGAAGCTGATCCGGGGGTGTTGGTGTATTCTGCCATTTTGTCGTTCACTCCCGTTAGCTGTTAAAAAAAAAAAAAGGATGAAGTGAGTGGGGATAACTACGGGGCAAATTTAAAATTTTAGGACAGAAAACAGGGTATAGTATAACCAATGCTGAACTTGTTATGTTTTGCTCTTTAAAGAGGGCTGACTTACTTTGGCCAGCAGCTGTTCAATCTCAACTGACATGGTGTCAAACATCCTGTCCTGGGTGGAGTTATTTAGCAATGGTGTGGTGTCCGAACTTCAGGGAAATAAGACATTGGGAGCAGTTAGAAAATCTTCTTATGGCATTTGTGCTTATAGTACATATTTTCAAATGTTAATTGTACTATATCGAACCTAAAATTTTCAGGTTTGCTCTAAAGTGATTTTCCTTCCCAACACTGATTTAAACTGTGGAAAAAACATGCATCAAGAATGGATTGATGGAAATGAAACACTTACTGCCTGCATACACAAAACTAGAAGTCAACAATATCATTTTTAACCATTTTACTAATTAAAATACATCTCCAAACAAAACAAATCTAGATCATCCCAAATCTACCAATGTGGTAAAGAGTTCCTATCAAGAAGTTGTGGTGATAGGCGGTAGCATCTTTATTTTAGATGAGATCTGTCTAATGGACATAAATGTGTTTGACATATATATGTGCTGTTATGTACTTTCATCACCGGTATGCTCTCTGATTAACCTTTTCGAGCAGGCCATGCAATTTAAGGCCTGATGCAAAGAAAGCCAACTGGCCTTGAAAGTTTTTGTGCCATTTCAGTACATATGTGTAATATGTGCACATGCACACACACATGCAATTATGTATAGTAAAAAAATAAATACAATAAAAATAAATTGTATATATATATATATATATATATATATATATACACACACACACACATTTATTTATATTAAGTTTCAAATGAACTTTTGGAATAGTTAAGAAAAAAATCTAACACTTTAGCAACATGAAACAAAAAACTGGACTGTGTAGATGTGAGGGGCACTGGGCTTACGTTTCTCCTCGGCGTCCATCTCTAGAGCTGCTGTAGCTGGTGCACAATTTACTAAAGGAGACCAACTTCAGGTCAAGTTCATTCTCCAACTGCCTGGCTTGCTTTCTCAGATCTGTAACACAATCAGCCAATCCAGTAAAGCATTCAATAAGCCAATGTTTCATAGCAGCTGTTTACATTTGCTGCAGCAAGAAAAAAATAATTCAAAGCCTTCCTTCATCATAGGTATCAACACTATCAGGTCAAGCATAACTAGATCATTTATATCAGCCGTGATAAGAATTATTATGGGCGATTGTCTTTTCATTATAGCCCCTTTAATGTCAACAGCTCGTTTTTTTTTTTTAAGAAACCTCATTCTTCCAGCTGGGTTTAGGTTTTCTTCTTCAAATGAACACATCAGACAACACGTGTCTTTGTGTCCACTTGATAAGCCGTTTTAAGCACCGTCCCAGTTTTAACAGCTTAGGAAGAGACATTAAGTTCAGTTACACGGAGCTGTGGGTTAGCTTGTTGAGGGCTAACTAATTGTTGAATGACACGGACACGTTTCAAAGTCAGAAATATTGGGCAGCAAAGCGGACACACTAACTCCTGACATTATGTGAACAGCTGCAGGGTTTGCAAGGTGTTACATTGGTTTTAAACTGGGTGAAAAACGCTGGTTTCTTACCCTCCCAGTAGTTGCTGCTTCCTATCCCAGCCATCTTTGTTTTCCTGTGACGTCACCAACTTCAAGTCAGCAGAGACGATGGGAGCGTGGGATTTTATCGCCCTCATTACGGACTGACAGGATCACTTTCTCCTTAAAGCTAAAAGCCGACAAAACGTCATTGCTAATCGCATTACACGTCTTTCAAATTGTTTTATTCGATGTATATTGTGATATATGTATCCTTGTCTTATATTATGATAATTTATTCCTATTATGACTGTGTGTTTTGGCTTATTTTATAGCTGTCGAAACATGGACTGTTAGTAAACCCTGTTAATGCATTGCCATTATTTATAGCCACCTTAAGATGAAATAGGTTATAGTTTTAATGCTTAATAGTTCTTCTCCAAGGTACTGTAATCAAACTACTGGCTACTTGGTCTAACAGATTCTAAATAAAGCATTAGCTACAAAGAAGGTCTAAAGTAAACAAGATAAACAACATAAATCTGAACTCTTTTATACAGAAAATGGCCTTAAATTTTTTTCCCCCCATTTTATTCAATTAGTGTTTGAGCTAGGAATTAATGTCAACATGTGAACCTGCTCTGAGGATATGAACAGGTTTTGTATGTGTCCAAAAAAAAAAAAATAATAACTAGGGTTCAATATAAAAGACAATTAGAAAAAAAAATAGACCAACAAACCAGAACCCATTTAACTGAGTCTTATTATATATTGCTAGTGACCAAATATTTTATGCTGGCATACTTTTTTCACACAAAAAACAAAACAAGCAGCCATCTCTGCTTGTGGTGTGCAGTCATTTAAATAGTTCTTAAAGTTATGTCCTGTCTTTTAATTACCTGCCTGACTATTCTTGCAATTTTCAAAATCAAGAGATTACTTAATCAAGACAAGGCAGGAAATAAGGATTTCAAATAGCCACAAAGGAGCACAAGGGAGCCTTCCTCCCAGCAGCTGTAAGACTTTGTACCCATCACTGTTCCCAATAATCTATACAAGCTGTTACATTCATGATGATTTTGCATTTTCTACCTTAGTTAAATTACATGCTGCTGTAATTTTGCACATCTCTGATGTTGCTATTTTTGAAATATCCATTACTGTAAAAATATCCATAACTGTATATATTTTTCTCTAGATACACAGTTTTTATATTATATTAGAATATTACAGTAGAGTATTTTATTTATTTTTAACGTTTCACTATTGTGTTATAAGGTCTACATTTGTGTGACAATTTTTTCTATAATCTTTTTGCTGCTGTAAATACCAGAATTTCCCAATTTTTGAGCAACCAATTTTCCATTGTATTCTAAATCATAACCCAATGTAAATATAAAGAACAGATAAATATCTGTTTATTAGATAAGGGGCTAAATGACATGGCACCATGTGGCTTCTACCCCCCTATAAAAAACTTCTTAAATTGAGTTTTCAGCTTTTCCTCTCCTTCAAGGCCTAATGGTCTTCGGTAGCATTCTGCAGGAAAGGCATCTTTGAAAAAACAAAATAAAAATACAGCACCAAAGCATTTTGTAGACAGAACTTTTATTGTGTAGTTTTGTGAAGTTCTAGTGCACATTAGGGTAGTATGATCAGAGTTTCTGTTGAAATGTTCTGCTGCGTGTGAATTCACAGTAAACATGCATGGACCATTGGCAAACATTTACAGTTCCAGTTGTTTGTACAAATCTTCACACCAACACTGTGTGACACTTTCAAAAGATCACACATGAGGGGGCTTTACAGACATAGCATAGGAAAAATAATTGACAAAACTGCATCTCCACACAGACGTAAAGAAATAATCTCTTGTGAAAATAGATGATCAGGATAGACTTTAAAGAGAACAAGTATGTGTTTTGCTTTGAAACAATGCACCCCCCGTTCTGATGCGCCTTTAGTGATTTCATTACAATCAACAGTAGTTAGACCAAATGTGAGCAAATCAAGAACATTTTTGATTAGGGTGATTTATCATTTTGATTTGTAATTATTTTGGATTACATTTCTGAGATCAAAAAGTATACCAGGAAAAATAAATATATTTCTACTATTTTAAAGCTTTCCATTTGACTCACCTTTGTTTAGAGAAACTTCCATTGCACACACACTCACCAAACCACTTTTAATTGCCTAAATGGAAAACTGTCCCTTGTGTGTTTCAATTAAATGGCAAACCAATCAAAACCAAAACATTTAGTCATTAAAAAGAACATGACTAAACAGAAGAAAATTTTGCTTTGTAAAGGAAAAATGGAGATGGTTACAATCAAAACAAAGACACAGCTCAAGGCCACCCGTAACTAACTAGATAATGAAATTAAACATAAAGGCCGATCAATAAAAAAAGGGCATAATAAATACAATCATTACATATTCATAGCGTCTTAATCTAGCAGTGATATGCGATGGTTCCTTCCCTTGGAGTTTGTCCAACAAGGATCCAGTGGCTCAACAGAAGGACCGGTCGTGTTTTCCATTGCCACAGATCCAGCTTGCAACATAACTTAAACAGCAAACGCTTGATCTTGCTTTTTTTATTTCAGACTCAAGTGAAAGACTGCAGAACAGGGAGATAGCTCAACTATACACATCCCATTAATAGAAAACGGATGCCCTGATATCTGGCAGCTTTTATCCTCGATCCATTTAAAATGGAAATTAGGAAAACAAAGCAAGCTTGTCTTAATCCGCCGTTTTGAATTATTGGGTTATGTTTTATTCAATGTTTTTATCTTTTTTTTTTAATTAGTTAAAAATAAACTTAATTTTTAAACATAGATATTACCACAGTTTGGTTGCTGTGTCCCAAGAACTGGGAGTTGGTGCCGAGTCAATGCTGGCTTATTGCTGCCAGAGACAATGTCTCAGGTGCTGGATACTACGAATTAGTGCCAAGCAAACAAGGTGAAACCAGTTTAGTGCTGAAATCGCTAAAGTTGGATTAAACCCCCTGTGTGCATTTTCCAGTCCAGGTTTTATTTAAGCTTGGCTTTGAAAAAACACAAAATGAAAAAACTCTGGTAAATCATCTTAATCTTGCACAACTTATGAACAAAATTTTTCATCTGACCTGATCAGCTGACTAATGATAGCTCGATTCCCATCATAAATTTATGTTCTCATCTATTACAGCCTAGTTGGACTGGAAAATCTGGAGAAGCCAAGGCACAGATTTGTAAATGTCCCAAAGGTTCAGAAAGTTCAGTGCCACCGCGCCACATTGGACCACATAAAAAATATATAATTTGATTTCCTACTTTGAGGCATTTTTACATTAATGCTCAGAAAAGAGACATTTCTAAAGGTAAACATGGGGTGATAAAGCACTTCCAACTAGATTCATTTGATAAGAGTTTGTTTGGACTTGGCGGCTTGAACTGTAAACTGGGCAGGACGGGATAGGCATCCTGGAATGGCCCAGAACTTTAGAAATCAAGGACAGGAAACAAGAACTTCTTCATTCACCCCTCTACCTCCAGCTCTCTCCCTCAATCATTCATGAAGATGAGCATGTGTCCAGCAGGATACCAGAGCGCTTAGACCTTAATGATGTAACAGAGAAAATGTTTACAGCACTCATTCACAGAAGAAAAGATGAAGCTGCAATGTCAAGAGTTCATTCAGCTCCTTGGACGTCAAGAATTTGACTCTGGAGGGATTTAAAATAAAAGCGAAAAAATACTTTAACGCAAGATTGATCAGATTTTGTTAGCATAAAGTGTCTCTTCATCACTTTCGCTTTCATCCTGAAACTCGTGGGCAAGCAGGGATTTCTTGGAACCCATGGAGTTAAGATGGACCTCGTCGTCATAGTCGTCACGGTGCTGCCGCAGCCGGTGGAATCCATCTTTCTGATGGTCCGACTTTACTGAGCACACGCACCAAATGATGCAGGCTGTCAACACCAGCGCTGTCATGGAGGCAGCTGCAGATCAGGTAGAGTAAAGCACAATTAAACATTTCAATTAGGATTCACATGGAACCAAACTACCTTTTGTTTCAAGCCCAAAATTAACACTTCAATACAGTTGGTCGGAAATTTAAATACAATATTCTTTGCAAGAGAATCAGCTTAATTATGGTCTTTTAATGCCCATTTCTTCTTGTGTAATATTCATTTTCACTATTAGAATGTGGTGCAGACAAAGCATACAGTAAACCTTGGACAGGCTAATCTTTAGCCTAAACATCATCATCTGAAATCCTCACCACTGCACAGGTAAATAACTGGTTTTGATGGGATGGAGCAGCCAGTGAAGTAAAACCAATCTAGAGACCGTCAAATTGCAGGAAGTCTCGGACTTAGTGACAGCAGCATAACTAATACCAAAGATCTGCTGATGGATATAGGAAGACTGGTTTCTTTCCGACTTGCTATAGTTCGGTTGCAATTATGATTATAAATATAATTCAACATTCTGAACCCAGTTTTGTTTTTAAAATTCACAGGTTTATTATCAAAAACTGAACTAAAAAAAATGTTTTTCAACATGTTTGTTAAATTAAGGTAATCTCATGATTGCTAATGCCAGTCCTTTTTGTAAAGACACACACACACACACACACACACATTCCTTTCTGGTTCCTACCTGCACAGGCAACAACAAACTCCCTTTGCAGTCCAAATATGCTTTTATCTAGTTCCAATACTATGAAGATGGTTGGAGCAGCTTCCTGAGGTTTCACTGTTACCTGGAAAACAACAATGAAATAAAAGTTAATTGGATCTTTTAATATCACTAAATCTTTCAATTATCACATATGATTCGAACTGGAGACAGATTTAAGGAAAAAACTATTGTTACATTGTTGAAACAGCTTTTTCTGATTTGGAACTCAAAGTTTAAATGGTAGATGAGTTAGTGTATTTGCAACTACTCAAGGGCTGAAGAATTCAGGTTAAATTAAAAGTAATCCCCCTTAGTAGTTTGGGGAGTTTTTTACATTCCTTTGCATCCTAACAGGATGCTTTTCTAATTAAGGTTTAAAAAAAGGCCCTTCTCTGTCTTTCAGAGCTCTGCTGAGAAAGCTGGTTAATTATCTAATCAGCATGTCTCTTTTACAGGTGTGTCTGTTTAGTCTAATCTGCAGCCCGTTATCTTGCAAATCCTGGCAAAAAAAAAAAAATCCTGGAGAGTTTAATAAATCCTACTATCTTCAGCTGAGAGGTAAATAACAAAATTCAAATCGAGAAGTTATTAGTTTTTGTGTTTTTAAAAATACGGTAGATAAGTTTTAGTGGAGTGGTCTAAATCCAGACTGAGATGAGTTGCAAAGTTGTAGTTCTCCGTTTCTTCTTCTAGTAAACAGTCATTTTTGTACAACAAAGGAAGTCCAAATGAGTTCTCAAAAAAAAAATTTTCTTTTTTCCTTTTCAGGTGAATGAGATGCGCCCATATGAGTTGAGGCAGAGCATTAGATGCCCTAAAAAGTATGGGGAGACCATCAAGGAGAGGAACTTCTTGTTGGCTCCTTCGTGTGATTTGGAGCTAATGTTTGAGGATCGGAGTCCCCAGAAACCCCTGGATGAGCGGTACATCAGAAATGCTGCGGTTCTTCCAGATCTCTCAGATCCACCGCACAGCCCCAAAGCTATTCAGACAGAGGGGAGGACCTCCAGCAATGCTCTAATGATCCATGGTTATTCAGTAGAAGACTTCCAGCAGACGTATCACTCTGTGGTGGATCCACTGCTCTACAGACCTAATGGGACGCTCAGGCCTTACAGCCTTGAGTTGGGGTTTACCATCAAGGAACATCTGTTGGAAGAGCTGGCCTATCCGACACTGCACATTTCAGAGGGTCCAGATGGAAAGGTGGAGGTGAAGGAGAGGTTCTGCGTGCTGCGCCCAACACCTTACATAGACATAGACTGTAAAAGGGATCCGTGGTAACATCCCTCCAAAGACTTTCTATGATAAATGTGGATTTTCTGTCTGTTTAACCTCTTTTTCTTAACACAGACTTTTCTTGTTGTATGAGGTAGACAAATATTTCATTTTTCAATCGAATCTGTACAATTTAAAGCATAGGAAAATAATCTCTAGATAAACGGAACAACGTGAATCTGTGCAATAGCTACAGCCCTTACTATGAACTTTTACTAGTCGGGAGCTCCTGAAGCTTCAGGTCTCAACTCTTAATTGTTCCTAAGCACAAATTCCTGAAATGGTGTTCTATGCTAAGCTATTAATGAACATATTAAATGATGTAAAAACAAGATCCAAACAATTCATTTTTTAAAACAAATTGAAAGAGAATGTTTTCATGTTTCAGCTTTTTTTCCTAAAACATCTGGTGAGAAGGCATGTTAAGAAAATATAACCTTCAAAACTTCCTTCATAAAAGTCAATCTGGATCTAAATGTCAAAACTCATTTTAGATTCCTGTCATTCTTTATTTCTGTAACATGGAGGCTGGTTAAATCATGATTGTGCTAAGAAAACACTGTAATAAAAAATCCTAATTACTTTACGAGATTTAATTTTCAGAGAAACTGATTATATTAATTAGCTCTCAATAGCTGCAAGCCATAATCTTAAAATTCAAATGAACAATTAGAGAAAACACTGAAAAGCATCTTTCTGTGTGTAATTAATACAACTGATTATAGCTTTTTAAACTTAACAAAATAAAGCTAATGTGCAATGATACTTTAATTTATGAGGATGCAGCTTAAATTGAAAAGCTAATACAGGTAGCCACCCGATGCTCATATTAGTGTTGTAGTGAACCAATTAGTATCAAGACAAGACCAAAACCTTACAGGGTTTTTTGTCTTGTCTCGGTACTCCTTGGTCTCGGTTGGCGGGGTGTTGACTACAACACCAGCTCACATGCAAATAACTCTCAGTTTTCCTCATAGAAAACTAGAACAGTTCTATATATACTTCACAACAGCATGTAAAACACTGCGTACCACTTTATGTTGACTTTGATAGCCTTCAGCTATGATGTCAATACCAAAGCTGCCCGGTTTGACCAGGATGTGGAAGTAGCCGCCCTCAGAAGTGGAGACCTTTGGTGTTGTGTCCAGAAAAATGGTTGCTCCAACAATCGGTTTCCCACTTTTGTCCTTCACTACTCCTCGGACTCCTTTATGGACCTTAAAATTAGCAAAACACTTAAACTCAAAGCCTGTCTAACCATTAGTACTTCATTATAATCTATTAAACTGTGTGATTAAAACATCAACAATATTACAAGTCAAATGAATTTAAATTGATTTTATTATATCATGAATATTAAACATTTTAATACTGAGCAAAAATATTTACGTAAATTGCAAAAATCCTAAATACTGATAGTAAAGTCCTACCTCCACCAACATACTGAAGAGAGCCTTCTTGTTTTCCGCCCAGAGCGCGCTTAGCTGGTTAGCAGCCGGGAACAAACAGCAGCCAGTATACACAGTGATTTCAGGGCAGTGTCCAAAGTCCATACTGAAGTCCTGGAGGAACATGTGGAAGGAATGAGACATGACATGATGGCAAATAAAGGTTGGTTAATGAGTTCATTTCTCAGGTTAATAATTTTAAGGCTATGAAATGCTTAAAAGTTAAAAAAATTCTGCTAAACTATTTAATTCATTAGATAATTAAATTGAGGTTCTTCAAGAAAGATGAAATCCACCACGTAGGCATGCAAACTGCCTCAGCAAACAGTTTTGGTTTTTTTTAAGTATTGGTTGTCATCAGAGCATTGCTCAGTGTGAAATGATACCAAGTGTTCAACCAGTTCACACATTAACTTTTTAAGGACTGTTATATTACCCTCAGGACTCGAATTAAATGAGTTTGGTGAAGGTAAATACATTTCGGGTTCATTCATCCAGAAGACCCTGGTATTCTCCATGGTTATCATGGCCATTCTTACAACCATAAAGACAAAAATATTGTTATACGCCGTATTTTGTGCATATATAGAGCACAATTGGTTAAAGTGGGAACATTTAACTACTGAGTAAAAGAAAAAACTGTCCTGCAATCATATGACCAGTTTATAGTGCTCTGAGTCTTAGTGCCATCTCCTTCTAGAGAAATGGTCAAAAGAAAGTCCCTAAATTACATTTCTGAACCCAACAGAAAACATTTCTAGGTAAGTAGAAACCATTAAACCTACAAAAGGCAAAATCATATCAAACCCACAACAAGCGCAATTCTAGCGATGTCACCGCAATTGGGTGCTGTCACTCACTTGATATAATGCCATTAATTCACGACAATCACCACCCCTGTATCTACACTGCAAAATCCAATAGGAGGAATCTCTGTCCCTTTCTTGATGGATTTTATTCAGGAAAAGCAGAACAGTGGTCCCGGCTGCCTAGGTCCACCTGATCCACCAGAGATGCTCCAAGTTTGAGGAGCCCAGCAGGTACTGCTGGATCCCAGTCGTACTTCTTTTTGACCAGGAAACAAAACTATCCTGCTTTGGGGAGGATTGAAGTTCTCAAACTCAGGTCTGAGCTGTAGGAGAACAGAACAAGAACTCGAATAGAGTGTGGCCCCCGCTCTGGAGGTAAGAAGGGACAGCAGGAGATCTGAGCAAGATGATGAGCAGAGGCAGCAGATGGCCTGGACCAGCAAATGATGAATTAATGTTTTAAAAGCCACCCATAAAACCTCTTAAGAGCATCCTTTACATCGTCATATGAGAGCATTTCTTCCATTTTGACTGATAAAAGCTTAGTCTCTGCTGTGGTCCTTAAACCTACATAACAGCCACTTCACTCAGGTTACTGTGTGTGTTTTTCTTACCCTCTGGGGAAAATTTCCTAGAAATTTGCTACATTTTAAGAACTTATCGGTACTTGTATGAACTGATGGCTGGTCCCCCCATGAGTAGAAGTTCTCTTCTTTAAGTGGGGTTAAGGCTGATTTATACATAAAAACTAGTTTGTCTGTGTAGGTGTCGCGGTGAAAACAGAGACGTCCCCGCCCCCTTTGCAGACACTCTGCTGCACCTCTCCCAAATTGTAGCTGACCGCAGACAGTGCGGCAAACAGGAGGCCTCTGATTGGTCAAATCTACATCCGCTCTACACATGCACATTTCCTGTTTGGTACCTTATTGAAGTGTTTTGTTTGTATGACCGCCATTGCGGAAAGACTGGTAAAGTTGGACCAGCTAGAAGAGCGAGGTGCGCAAGAACCCTTATTCCACCTGGATCCCCGCTCTTTTTCACCCTCATGTCCCTCTGTTTTCACACAAACCTGCCCCCACTTCCTCACCGCCTCGGCCGTATCTAGACCCACAGCTAGTTCATGATAGTCCCTCTTGCAGTGTGGCATGAAATAACATAACGCAGACCACGCTTCAAAATTCAGTATAATATAGGACTCAGGTGTGAATTGAGTACAGGTTAGATTTAGGGTTAGGTATATGTTGTTATTGGTTAGAGTAAGGGTTTAGGTTAAGCTGCAGAAATGAATGCAATTTCAATGGAGGTCCCCACAAAGATAGTGTGGCATAATATGTATGTGCATGCGTGTGTAAGTAACTCATTACCTTTAAGTAATTTTTTTGTATGTCTTTTTTTTTCTAAAGAGCCTTGCTACTTTAAAAACTTGTACTGGCTTAATCAATATAACTAACTTGTCCACATTTTTCTGCAGTTGACTTGGCGCCTTTAAGATAAGGAAATACTTACCATCATGCTCCCCATGTGACTATGTAGCTCTGCTGCTTTCATCACTCCATCAGGGACGTTTCCCACTGAGTAAAATGAAAGTTGGTAGTTAACAAACAAAGTTACCTTCTATTACCATCTATTTATGCAGATGATTAAAAGTCGTACTTTGCCCATTGTTGTAACACAAAGTATCTCCGGGATGCATCCGTGGATGATTCTTAGCATACACCATTGCCAAGTACTTCAAATTGGCCTCATTATTCACTACAAAAACAAAGCCAACAATCACATCTAGTTTCCGATTTGCAAGCATGAAGAGGAAAAGCTTCTCAGTGCAGTGGGGATGTTTTCCTCTTAAAGTAATAAGTTCTAAAGGCATAATGAAATACAGAAGAGCTAGACTATGCAAAGTGGTATTACCGGTTTGAACAGGTTTGTTATAAGGGTAGGTGACAACCAGAGCGCCTCCATCCAAGGCGACAGACAGACTGAAGTCATTGCTTTGAATGAAATTCATCATCGCTACGGTTTCAGGCTGTGGCTCAGACAATTGCTGCGATGAGTTGCCTGTTCAAGTGGGAAAACAAAGACAAAAGAGATTCCAAATCAAGTCTATGGTAAAACAGCTGCACCGTCTCATTCCTAATCAGACGTTGACAGAAAAGTAGCTAAAGAATGCGTGTCATTAAAGCAGACCAAAAAAAGTTGTGTCAAGATCTTTGTGCTTAGAATTGCTGTGGCCCCGGTCAGATGAGCAGTCGTTCTCAGTGGCCTCTTCACGTCCGTCGGGGTTGATGGAGGGCACAATGAAAATGTTGGTCTCGTTGATGAGCTGGAGAAAGGAAAACATAGAGAGGCCATATTATACAACCATGTCAGCTTTTTTCTTTATTCAGAGCGTAACTGATATACCTTCACTAAGACTTGCAAAAATACAACATGGGGAAAAAATGTAAACATGATTTGGAGCAAAATGAATCATTCTGAAGTGTGATTGAGATTTATATTCTGCTTCGCTGAATCAAAGCCCCCTTTTAGGATTGTCTCTACCAGATTGAAGGAAAACTTTTGCAGGCTACTGTATATTTAGGCTGATGCACACCTTGGTGATGGCGGGGTTCTTGCCGTAGTTGATGCAGAGGCAGGTAGCAAACTCCATGAGCAGCTCTGTTCCCACAGGAGCGTTGCCGTGGATCCCTGCCACAAAGCGGATCTTTGGTTTGGACGGCTCGGCCTCTTTCGGATTATTGGAGATTTTCAGAGCCAAAATGTTTCTGAAATCTACACTACGGCCAAGCCTAAACAAGAAAAACATGGTACCACATTATTTTAATGCCTCACTACACACAGCAGCTAACACTACGGTGATATCAACAACATTAAAGGGCTGACTATACTCCCCGCAGCAGTGTGTCGCAGTGAGCTTGACGCAGACATTTTTGATTTATGCTCAATTTTGAGCGTGGTCTGTGCTATACGTTGTGGGTCTAAATGCGGCCGAGGTGGTGAGGAAGTGGGGGCAAGTTTGTCCGAAAACGGAGGGACACGAGGGCGAAAAAAGAGCGGAGATCAAGGTGGAAAAAGGGTCCCAGCATTCTCGCGCACCTCGCTCTTTAGCTGGTCAAACTTCACAAATTGTTTTCCGCAATTGCGGTCATAAAAACAAAACAAGTCGGCCTCTGTCTGCGGCACTGTCTGTGGTCACCTACAATTTGGGGAGAGGTGCAGCAGAGTGTCTGCAGAGGGGGCAGGGACGTCTTTTTGTTCACTGCGACACCTACGCAGACGACGAAGTATAAATCAGCTTTAACAGCTAAATGTTTACTGTGTCATTAACAGCTGCTATGTCAATAGAAGTCTTGGTAGTCAAAGGAATACCCACATCTGTAAATGTGTAATATGGGGAAAGTTAAGTTGGAGGCCTCTCAAGGAATCCTCCAGGTTTTTGGGACGTCGGTAGTGGAAGCTATTCACTGTGGCTGAGCTCTTGACCAGCTGCTCCAGGCCATGGTCCTCAGAAAGCTCCTTTATCAGGCTGTTGAGCTCCCTGTCAGATGGGCTCTGGACCAGCTGGGGAGTGGTGGCTGCGTGGTTGTTACTCTCCGAGTATAAACGGTTAAGTCTGAAGTCCACCAGCTCTGGTCGATCCTTTGAGACTGTAGCGTAGATGGTCACGGGTTTATACCTTTAGAGATAAAAAACAAAAGTATTCTTAAGTTAGTGGCATTTTGAAAAAAATGAAGAGAATAAGGATTCTGGTGAAGTGCACTTTCTGAAACAATAATGTTACCCATCAGCAGAAGCGGTGACAGCATAAGTCCCAGGGACCAACAGTCTCCAGTAGTCTCCAGTATGAGCTGTTGTGACGTTGTGGTCTATTCCTTCCACGCTGATGGTGGCATTGGGAATTCCCATCTTATCTCTGTCATCGGAAACTGTGCCTTTTATTCCGGTGTGAACCTACGATGACAAGCAACCAAATGATCAGAAGGAAATAGTAATCATTGACAGTGTGGCACAAGCTACCCTCAACAACTGTTCTTATTACCTGGTGTATGAACTGTATCAAAGCTCTCCAGTTTTGCTCCCAGTATTTTGGCAGCTCCTTAGCCAGAGGGTACTTGAAGCAGCCCAGCTCGATGGTCACCTCAAAGCAGTTTGTGTTGATGTAATTCCAGTCCTGCATTCCTCCTGCGCAAAAAAAAAAAAAAAATTTGCTTAATATATTGTTTATTTATTCACTATATAATTTAATCAAAAGTTGGGATGTGACTGATATCATGAAGAGTAAAAAGTATTTTCCCTATTGCAGATCAATCCTTGCCTTTTGACAAATATAAATTCATAAACCAACCGGAATCCCTTTAAGTCACAGCGGAGGGATTTAGAACGTTATATACAAGACCAGAATTTGACTGGCGACACCAGAAAACTTACTGTTGGAACCATTCAGAAGTTCTCATGCTAGTGTGATTTTGCTATGTTGTTCTGCTGCATTATTTAATTGCATATGGATCTAAAGTAATAAAATTATGGTCTGGTATTCTACTACAGATATCTTACCGCAGATTTACCAGGTCACATACCTTACACAAAAATATATATTTTTTTTTTCTATCAGTACATAGAATATCTTCCCTTAGTCCTTTAGAACAACAAAAAGTGTTTTTGATGAACATGAGACCGGCCAAACTATGCTGCAGTTTTCATCTAGAAACGTTCCCTCTGATGCCATTTTTGCAGTTTCTTTATGTTTTTTTTGTTGTTTTTTTAATGGAAACTGACCTCATCTAAATGGGAATGGCTGCTTCTGGACAGCTTTTTATCTCATTAATGACTAAAATCAACACTTTTAAACTGTATTTTATGTTTACTTATTCTATCATTGTTTAAAATTAAAACTAGTTTATTAATACTAAACATTTGGATGCTAAACGCAAATATAGAAGGTGCAAATACCTGTGAAATATGTATCAATTATTCTAGTCAATTCTATTCACTGTTCCCCAGAATGTGCAGAGCAGGTTGACATATTGTATATACCCTAAATTTGAGTAGATAAATAAGATGATTTGCCAATGGAAAGAGTATTTTTACCCTTAAAATAAGATAACTAGATAATGTGCACTTGAAATAAGACAACGCATTTGTTTTGTCTCATTTTAAATATAATTTGTCGTGTTCCACTGGCAAAGTGTCTCACTTACCTCCTTAATCAAAGAACAAACTCACTGGTTTTAAGAAAAAAAAGTGACTTATTTAGATTTCCATTTTTTCCAGTGTGAGGAAAGGATTAGACAACAAAAAAATAGGACTTAAAAAGTGAAATCTAAAATCTTGAGAAGGAAATGGAAATGGTGTCAAACGGAAAGACCTTAGATAAGCTCTTAGCGACAAAGACTTGAAGGCCTACCAGAAACAGAGTACCACCTGGCCCCATTAACGATGCCATCCTCAAAATGTTCCTCAGGGTACAGGTCCTCACAGGGATGTCCTTTGTGCATTAGAGCATTCTCCTGTAAGCACATTTAACACAAACAGCAACTAAACAATGGCTTCAATTGTATTCACGTTTTAAAAAAAATCCCCTACAGATGCAAAAGAAATACACGGCTCTGCTAAAGAAATCATTCTTCCTTATAATGTTTAATATTCTGTGTGTTCATGGAGACTTTTTTAGACGGTGTATCATCAAATAACACAAAGCTCTTAGCCAGGAGGGAAGATATGGGGTTTTCTAGAGTCTTTTAAAAAAAAATAAAATAAAAAGGTAGGCTTTCATATCTGGTCCCATGTAATATAACAGCCTTATATATAATCAACCTTATTCTCTTGTAAATATTCTTAAAGAGATCTTGGGAAGCTTACAGATTTGAAGAAGAAAACTGCGATATGAATACACCCGCAATGATTCTCTACAAGGGGGCTTGCATAGCTCTGACTGAGGTAGACTCCTGGTTAAACAGTCTGGTTTGCCCGACTTGGAATAACACAGAGAGCAGGCGGGACATACTCTGACATACAAACTAAATAAAACATTTCAGTAAACTCAATTACTGCATAATAGGAGTTCAGAGGGACAGAAAACTCATGAAGTACAATAGTCATCCTCCAGAAAAAATTATAATTCACCTCGCTCTCCGAGAATCACCTCTCACTGCCTCAACAGTTCCTGTATAAACCGCCCCACAGTCTTTGTTGGCTTGTTTTCATTATCTTCAAACAGAGTTGCCTTTATTTTTTGTATATATTAAAATACTCCATCTGTTCTGGTTATAGAGATCCTGCGCAGGTTGGTCATGAAGTCGGGCTTTGCTTTGTAGCCGCACCGCCTGTTTTTTTGTTGTTCTTTTCACTTTTCATAACCCGTCCAGGTCAAACGTGGGACATTGTTTCAATTTCAGGGACATAGAGACAAAGGAAAAATCTGCTTCCCTAGGCATTGTAGGAGTCCCACTATATGCACTGAAGTCAGTGTGACATGAGGAAAAGAAAATAACTAATCAATCGGATGAATCTTGGATTAAAAAGCCAGATGCTGTGTGACCAGGGCCAATTATCCTCTGATTTGTATGGGTCCATCACATACAACCGTAGTTCAGTAGAATTAGTTTCCATTGCACAGGTTTATTCCAGAACAAGAAAATATAAACTTAAATAAAAGTAGAAGATATTATTTTAGCCAGAGATAGATTCAATTACCTGTGAGTATGCTTTGGCCACCTGCCTGAAAACAGCGTCATCGGGTGACTTGCTATAATGACTCAGACCATCTTTGTCATCATCAAAGGGGTAGTTGACCACCAGGGAGCCTGGACGTCAGAAAAATAAAGTCAAACGAGAACTGTAAATATTTCAACTGTTAGAATAACCAACAATTAAAACTGTAGATCTAAACATTAAAACAAAGATAACAATGGAAAAAAAAAAAACAGAAAAGTTGTGACTTAACAAAGGTTTTTACACTGGGAGACTTATTTACCTCCGTGGAGGTTTGCAGACAAAACAAAGGGGATGCTCTTCAACCAGTTCATGACAGCTATGGTCTCTGGCTGCCTGGGTTCTGTGATGGTGACGAACTGGTCTGGAAAGTTACGGTTCAGATCATAATCGTTGCTGTTGTTGCGGCCTCTGTAGCCCGTCCTGTCACCTGCGGGGAAGCAAACTCAGCTGATGAGTCACTGCAGCTTATCGGTCACAGAAAGCAAGTTCCTTCTTAAATGTACATCCTTCCCTTTTCCTTTCCTTCAGTACTTCTGCAGTAATTATTGAGTAAAGGATGTTGAGAAGCTACTTTAAGAAAGTAGAAAATAAGAAGAGGGAACGTGAGCTGCACAAAAAGAAGGGGTTTATTATCTAAAGACATTAGAAAGTGCTCGTTTTCTCCAACATCATTTATGTTGCATTCAAATATTTGGTCAATCATTTATACATTCCTTTTAACTTTTAAGATATATCCGTCTTGAAATGATTAACTAGAGTGTGTTTGAAACCTGGCTACTGCAATGTTATGGCCTGGATCAGTTTTAATGCATTTAACTGAGAGTAGCGTAAGCAAACACTTAAAAAAAAAGAAAATAGTTATCTGTAAGGCAAAACGGGCCTAGTATTCAAAAAGCAAGAGCAAACAGGAAGACAAACATCCCAACCATCTAGAGTGACGAGAACAAAAACAGAAAGGAAAATAAGTAAAGGGACTAAAGTGGCAAAGTTGAATAGAAATGGCAAAAGGAGCCCAAATGAAAAGACAGGTGAAATCTAGCTGGTTTGAGTTTGTGATGTGAAAGAAAGCCACTTCACAACGTTAGAATGATTATATCCGTGTCTTTTTCAGGAACAATTTAGAAAAAGCTGAAAACCAAAAGGCAAGGCCCAAACACAATCTGACCAGTTTGCAGCTGTCCTTTACAAAAGCTATAAAGGTGATAGCAGTTATAAAAACAGTCAAATTACTAAAGGCCTGTTCTAACACTTCTTTAGGAGGTTTGTAAAAAAATAAAATAAATAAATAAATAAAAATGTGTATTTAAGAAAACATTAAGTCCCATCACCTCTATTAAGTATGGTTGTTGTTTATGGTTAAATTCATGTCATTAAGCATGACATCATAGGTTATGCATTTACTAGCATGCCTCTGTGTAAGAACAGTAGTCCTCCTCTCCTCCCTGTCCATCCTTAAATAACCACCTGACCATCTTGGGCTGAAGGTTTTATACTTCATACACATCATCCCCTGAGTTTCAGCCCTCATGTCACTGAATGTTTAGTTTCATCTTAGCTGGAGATCTAATGTTTGTATGCAACAGTATTGGATGGATCAGATATGTTATAATAGCTACACTTTGATATCTTATTGAAATGCAAGGCTGTTATTCAGTGCAAGTGTTAGAGGAATATTACTTACCTTTGACCATCTGAAAGCGATATATTTATCAAAGATGCATATAAAAAGTTCTTAAGTCACATAAAACATAGAGGTTTGGTCTCCAAAAGGTTCCGATTTTATGCTAGTCTCTACTTCTCTTACCTTCCACAGCGACCTCATAGCCATCAGGGTTCATGGAGGGCATGATGTGAATCCGAGTGTTGTTCACCAGCTGAGTGACCTCAGGGTCGGTACCATAGTTATGACACAGATATTCGATGAGATTGAGCAGCAGCTCTCTTCCCACCACCTCATTTCCATGCATGTTGCCCACATACTTGAACTCTGGTTCCCCTGAAAGAATCCAGGAGATTAAAAAAAAAAAAAAAATTCTTGTATTAACAATAGAAATGAACCCTGTGTATCAAATATTGAAAATGAATAACTAAAAGCAGCCGTTCTCTGGACACTGCAGTTTGCCACTCACCATGCTCATGAACTGTCGGGTTGTCAGAGATGACCATCACGTACAGCTCTCGGTCTTGGACGGAGCGGCCAATGGAGTAAAGGTGGGTGATGGGGGAAAACTCGCTGTTGTATTTGCGTAAGAAGAGCTCCATGTCTGCATAGTTGTGGTGACGGAAATACTTAGGATGGATGGGCTCATGACCAGGTGGAAAGAACGGAGGGGTGCTGGCAACAGCGGGAGTCTGGGTGATATTGGAGGCCTTTGTAGCAGGAATGACGAGGTGACTGGTGGATGGAGCCGATGTTGTAGTTGTGGGGGTTCTGCCTTCAGCCTCATTGACAAAAGGCCGTAGTGTAAAGTTAACCTCAGTGGGTTTCCCATCAATGATCTGGACATTGTTGACTGTCATTGATAGGTACCTGCATACAGGGAGAAAGGCACAGGGAAATCATGCCTTCATATCGACAGCAACTGCAACCAAGTCAGGATAAAAACATGGTGCTCGCTTTAGATTAACCAGGAAGTTCTGCACTGAATCCACCTACTTAACCAGTTACTCTGTAACTTTTAAAGGAAGTAAGATTCAATATGCTTGCAAAAGCCTTCACAGTAATTAAACCTAAAAAGTTATCCCATTAGAACCACAAAATATCAATATCTTCTCATTACAATACAGAGGTCATGTAATAAGCTTTATTTAGCTATACATGGTTGACATCCCCTTTGCATTAAAAATTTGAAACAGAGTTTTTGTGTTTTCACTCATTAATGCACTTTTACTGAATAGTCTCAGTCTGCACCAACTGTGGAATGTGGAGAGCCTCACCCTGGAGCCACAGCCGTGATGTTGTACGTTCCCGGGAGCAGAAGGCGGTAGAAGTCTCCAAATTTTCCTGTGGTCAGGTTGTGTCGGATACCAGCGACCACAATGCTGACGTTGCTGAGGGCGGCACCACTGACTGCATCTTTCACAAAGCCACGGGCACCCATGTGTACCTTTAAGAGAATAGCACAGTGTCTTAAAGATCAAAGATTTAGAAATAAAACAACCGTGGCTTAATGTCCCCGTTCCTGACTAATGCCAGGCATAAACAAATTTTATTTGTGGTCCTAACCTTTTCCATGTAGGCCAGAAGAGACTCCCTGTTCAGATCCCATTCCTTGTGCAGCTCGGAAGCTTTAGGATATTTGCAGCAGCTCAGCTCCATGGTGACTTCCAGGCAGTTCCCATAGAGGTAGTTATAGTCCTGCATTCCTCCTGAACAACAAGACAGCAATGTAAACATAAACATGCTACAGTATAAAAACACTGTTATCACACTCTGAAACTGGGGGATTACAGAAAGTTCTGGTAAGGCTGTTTTCCCAACGAGAAACCTGCAGTTTGCAGGTCTGGTGAAGTGAACAGCAAGAAACACCAGAGAACCAACTAAGGCCGACTATCTTTGCGGAAAAACCCCGGAGTAACGGAGGTCTAGAGGGCGAAAGGTGGCCACAGAAACCGAGTCAAAGAATAACAAACTTATTAAACAGTCTCATCAAACGGAGTCAAAGACTGAACACTAAGAAAAAAACAACTGACTTCTATCTTATGTACTGAGACGCAAACTAAAAGTTAAAGTTAAAACCCTTTTGTTTGGACTTATTAAAGGGAAACGTAACTTGGGTATCATTAGCTGAATTTCTGTTTCAACTTTTATTTAATTTACTACCTGCTTTATCTTTATGTTCCTTTATTTTCCTTTTATTTTATCGTGCAATTCATTTTTAGCACAATTTAAAGTCAACATATTCCTTTTTTTTTATCTTTTTGACAGAAAACATATTTTGACATCATTCTAGTTTTAAAATCAGTGACTGGAAGAACAAAAGAGACCTTTAATTCTCAAAAAGCATACATATTATTGGAAAAAAATATCCTAAATTATGTTTAGGAGAATTTACTGTTGCAACAAAGATAATTAAAATAACCTGCTTAACCCATCAGTTAAAGGAACCAGACAACAGCATGAGTAAACACAGCCTGGGTACTTATTTGAAGTAAGGGTGTACTACAGTTAACCTTCAGGACACCTTTGAGACTCTGAGGAAACAGACTGAGCAGGTTGTTACGGTAACCAATCCAAATATGGCATTTTAAATATCTCACCTATAACTGATGGGGTAATAATAGTGGATCTATGTTCAGTACTGACAGCAAACTGTTGAACACAAAACTCTGACCAGAAGACATTAACTTTTGTCTCTGGTTAGGTTACACTAACTGCCACTGAAGCAAATCCCTAAAGTAAAAAACCTGCACAAACAAAGTTTAACAAACACAGGCTTAAGAGGCTCAGGTTTAAATATCCTGTTTAAATAGGAGGTCTGACGGCCCGCCCCAAACAGAGCAGGAAACTACCGATCAGACAATGAAGCCAAAACCTGAGCGACGCTGGGGTGCCGATTACAGCAGGATGTCGGCGGCGGTTTAGCACAAAAAAAATCAAAACAGGAAAGCTGGCAGCCATTGGCAGAATAAGAAAAACAACACAGATTAGACCAGATTTCCCTTGGGGTTCAAATTTAGTATAAACTATTGAATAAAAATAATTGAAAAGACATTTTACACTTAAAATCTTACGGTTTAAGGAAGTTAAATTAAAATCAACCCTTGCATTTAGTTTTAAATTCATGTACAGGTGAAGGGAATAAAGGTTCTTTGTAATTAGTCAACAGATTATGGGTTATAATAACATGAATCACTGTGAAAAATGGAGGTGGGTTATTCTATGAGGATCTGGCAGCCAAACAAAACCATCTTCTGTTCCTGTCTCTCCCCCAGGCCACTTTGCATCGGCTACTCATGATCTCACTAGGCGCCGTCTTCACAAAGTTTAACTTACAGCTGCTGGGTCCAGATTTAGCTGGTATTTAGTTTCTAAATGATTGTATCTTTACTATGGTGCAGATGTGACTGAGTCACACTAACAGCAGGATTCCGAAAGTGACCGCAAAACAATCAACTCACTGCATAAATTCTGAATAAATAGATATGTGAAAACAATATATATATATATATATAAAAATCTAGAATTTATTAAGAAAAAGTATATATATATTATCTAAATATATATTATCTTCATCATATATAACAGCTTTCATAATTAAGTTTTAAATGAATGGTTTATATACCGAATATTTAACTGTGAATTTAATTTTTTGACAGATTTCTATGATTAGCTGTACATTTTTATATAATTAAGTGTTTTAATTTAGCTTTGATCAAACACCATTCTTGTCTAGGTCTCTCTTGAAATAGATTTTTCATCCCAGTAAGATATACCTGGATAAATAAAGGTTTCATACATTCATACATTTCTATTTGATAAATAATCTGCTGGGTTATGCACCTCTTTCCTCCAGTAAGACACAATATATACAATGTTTAGGTATAATCTGCAAATTTCTTGCAAAGTTTTGTTTACAAAAAATGTAATTGTCAGCTTAAGATTGAGATGGTGAAATAGTGTGAAATTTAACAATGAAGAGCTGCAACATTGAAATGTGCCTTTTAAGGCAAAGTACATTAGTAAATTAAGTAAAAACAGATTAAATTTACAATTTCCAATCCAAAAATTCCTTGTACGTGAACTATAAAGACTACTTGGGGGAAAACAGGTGTTTATTTTAAATTTTATTTTGATAAATCGGGTATTATAGATGTATATTGATGACAACAAAAGGACAGAATAATTGGACATTAAGTAGTCAGAATTATTGATAAGATTTGGTTAATACAGGTAACCTAGCTAGAAAGGTGAGGGTTATATAGAGGCTGACAGATAAGCTGCTTCCAGAGAGCCATGTTTTTATGAAGGCAATTAAATCAGCTGATGCATAAGGAGTCGCCTCCTGAACAGCTGTCGTTCTGAAAACTTAAAACACAAGGCATCACAAGAGGAAACTGGAGACGCAACCTGAAACTGCAGACACGTACGACACTGCCCTGCAGAAGCCAACAACACAAAAGAGTAACACATGATTGTTGATCCAGTTTCAGGCCTCAAGCACACAGCTGTAACTGTATCCAAAATGTGTGTGTATATATATATATATATATATATATATATATATATATATATATATATATATATATATATATATATATATATATATATAAAAACTGTCAGAAAAAAGGAAAAAAAACAGGTTCCGCTGTAAAAGTCAGGTCTTCATATAACGAGTCCTCAACACACAATGAATAAAAGTGTGTGCAATATATCATTATTGCAAATGCAAAACTGGACATTCATTACATCCCAAGTGTTGGAGTGGTGAAGATGTTTAGGATTTATAGCCCCTTCTATAGACATTACAGAATTCATGATAAAACCGTCTGATTTCCTAAAATCTAGGTTTAGGAAGAGGGATGAAATTTAATGTTAAATTCCTGGCAGTGAACTAGTTGGATTGGCCGGTCAATATTTAATCAGCTCAGAGGAACGCTGCCGTTATCATGTTTAGGAGTTACAAGTATGAAACATAAGAAAATCGGATCATAAATAACTTTTTTGCAGAGAAGATCAGTGTTCTTTAAAATACATATTCCTGTTGCCAAAAGCCGTCCGAGTCATGGCAAATACATCAAGAAGCACTTTTCTATAGCCGCCATCCAAGTGACCGGGCCGCCTTTTACAGCTGCCTTTTGTATCTCTGCTTCTATCTCTGAACCCCAGTCGGCCTCGGCAGATGGCCGCTCACTCTGAGCCTGGTTCTGTTGGAGGTTTTTTCCTGTTAAAAGGGAGTTTTTCCTCTCCACTGTCGCTATAAGGATGCTTAGTGTGAGGGATTCCATTTGAGTCAATGAGTCGATGCAATCAACTGGTTTTCCTTAGATAGAAAACTTTGAATCAATTTGACTGTATGATCTCGTGAACTGTAAAGCGCTTTGAGATGACATGTGTTGTGATTTGGCGCTATATAAATAAACTGAATTGAATTTAAATGAGAATTTTAAGCAGGCTCATAAAAATAAAAAAAGGAAATGAGTATTTGCAGCTCTTCCATTTGGTCTGAAGCAAATTAACCAAGTAACGCAGAGCATAATGTCGTAATAGTCGTTGTCCACATTGTATCGTCGAATATGGGTGTAATAAACAGGAAGTAGAGGCTGCAATCTAGCCTGGACCACAGATCAGTAAGGGTGGAAAGTTTCAATGAATAAGTTTCTAGCAGGCTAATTGTTCTGACGTTAGTAATGGAGATGTTAGTCTGGCTATGTTTACATACATAATACAAACATCTGGGTAGTCGCAAACAGAGGGAACAGCTGACCAATCATGTGACGTAAAAGCTTGCTACTTCACAGCTGATTTGAAAAAACAGTTTCCATCTTCCATCCATTTTGCAAATATTTTCGCAAAAGCCGAAAACTAACTAAAGCGAGAGCGAAACCATTCTAGTGAATGAGGGTTTCATTTTTTTTTAGATTTTGCAATATGCAGCAAGCTTTTCTGATGCGATGCTTCAAAATCCGTATAAGAAAAAAGCTAATGGAAAAACACCTTATATTGCAATTTTCAATTTGCCTTTGTTGTACACTCACTGATTCTAATGGTACAAAGTTTAAACAAATAAAAAAAATATATATATTAATAACTTATGTTCTTTCTAAAGCTCTGTTTTCATTAAAAAAATATCTGCTCTTGTACTGACTGAGGCTATATTAGTATTTAGACCCAAGATCAATAATGCAAATTAACCACATGACATTGTCTACCTTAATGCACCTAGAATTGAAGCACCTCTGTGGTGAATAAGATGCATACTGGGTTTGTGACACGGTGCTTTTAAAGCCCTGGGAAGAATGTTGTTTTTTTTTAGGTTTGGAAGCTACTGCAATTAAAAATCATTGTCTTAAACATCACAACTTTAAACAAATAAATTGTAACTTAACAAACCGGGATTCAAGCAGGAGTAATTGTTACTAATTCCGTCTTAACTAGCCTCTATTATATGTCCCTATGCATTCTGGACTGCGTTTTGCGTCTTCCTTTTATTTTATGTTTTTTTATGCATTCCTTAAAACAGAATATGAGAATTAAAGTAAGTTGAGTTTCAAAAATAAATAAGATGGAATATATAATACATTTGTCCTTTAAATATATAATAATACTGAACATGACGGTATTTCAGAACCAAAACTGCTTAATACTAACTTTGACTCCTACAGATTAAAGGAGTGGGGTAAAACCTCCTGTCCTGTAATTTAGGAAATAACACGAAAGAAAGAAACCTACGAGACATGACCAAATACTGTCTATATTGTAAGATATAACAACAAAAATCCTGAAAAAAACAAAAACTGAGTAGTACCTACAATGAAATAAAATGAACTAACTTTTGTCTAATTCATCCACAACATGTCACTGCTTGTGCAAACTCATGCAAACCTGAACATGCTGCAAACAGTCAAGATTAAGTGTAGTTTGCTGTCCACAAGAACAGGCTTACACAATCATCATCATCATCAACAGCAGGCTATCTGTGCTTGAAAAGTATGTAGGATAGCAGAAAGAAAGTGATAAAAACATAAAAATGAACTCTGTGTAACTCAGATGATTACAGCTGTAAAAAAAAAAAAATGTGACTCCCCTACAGGAGATGGCTAAACAAAAGATGGCCTACATTTCATTTCATCACAACACACAGAGCAGAAGGCAGTAGACCTTAATCCAACATTCTACCCTTGAGCAGCGGTCCAGATTTATTTTACTCACCTGGAACATCATACCAGCTTGCTCCGTTGGTGATGCCGTCTTTGAAGGTTTCTTCTGGAGTGTCAGGACAGTTAGGCTGACCGGTTTTCATCACAGGGTGATTACGGGAATACACCAGGGCCAAGTAGCGAAACAGAGTGTCATCCTCTGACTGGCTGTAGTGGCCCTCACTCTGGTGGGAGGCAGAGTCATCAAAAGGGTAGCTGGCGACCACAGTCCCGCCGTGCAGGTTCCCTGACAGAACAAATCTGGCAGAAGACAACAGGTTTTAACCAACAGGGATAGTTTGAGTAGAGTTTGCTGTTATAAAACGTATATACTGGTACACGCACTCAGTCTAAAGCAGCAAACATGTTTGTACTAGTATCTTAACTACTTAACTGATTTCTTCTTCATTATTTTAAAATGTACTGAAATATATTTAATATAAGCAGATTTTTTTTCAAGCTCTAAACAGATTTTTTAAGAAACTATTTTAAATGTAAATAATAAACGCACAAAATATATTATACTTTAATCACATTTTTGATGAGCTGGTGTTTTATTACATGTTTGTCACTTATTTATTAACAAATGATAACTTAAGGTACTTTCTACACTGGCTTCATCTTGTTGACTGCTGTGTTTTTTTCCCAACGTGTATTTCAATACACAAATGTGATTGTTGGGTTCCAACTACAGCAAGAAGATAAAGAGCTCCAGGACTGATGGATAATTATTTTAGAACAACCTTTAGATAGGTATGAGGAAAACCTTCCACTAAGCCATCAGCGTCAGGGAAGGGAAGATGCTGCCAGGTAACAATCTCTTTTCAGGTCACTGGCAAAGGCAACCTTTATCAAGCCAGCATTTTATTTATATATATATATATATATATATATATATATATTAGAGGAAACCTCTAAAGGCCCTGGATGGTACCTGCTGTGTTAGAGAAGAGAAAATCTCACTTTTGCTCTTTGATCCATTTGATCATCGCCATGACCTCTGGTATCTGATCTGCTGACACAGTTGTCCCGTCAAACTGATCGGGAAAACTTCTGTTAAGGTCCTTATTGTTGCCATTATTCCTTCCGTTGAAGTCTCCGTTGCAGTTCCCTTCCTCCGCTTTCTCAAAGCCGTCTGGATTCATACTGGGCATGATGTAAATGTCAGTGCTGTTCACCAGCTCCGTGATCCGGGCATCCTCTCCATATCTGCTGAGCAGGTACTCCACCAGGTAGATCAGCACCTGCCTGGACACGGTCTCGTCTCCGTGCATGTTCCCCACGTACTTAAATTTAGGTTTGCCCGGCGTGTCTTTGTCGGGCTCCACGGTGATCCGCATCACCCATAGCTCCCTGCCCTCCACAGACCGACCGATGCTCGACAGGTTCGCGATGTGGGAATAGTTCTGCGCCAAAGACTGTAGAAGCTTCGTTAGGTTAGCATAATTGTAGTATTTGTCATAAGTTTCTACCGTTTCTGAAGCAGCGACGCTTCGTGGCAGCTGCGTCTTCCCTTCACCCCGAGACACGGCGAGAAGAAACAAGGCGAAAAGCAACAGCAGCTGCTTCAACGGCTTCGGAATGAAAACCATGTTGAGTTCACTAAGACTTCTACAACATTGGGTCTCCTCAGCTGAACAACGGAGAGAAGAAACTTGTGTTATTTTTCCGCCCCGTCTTTGCGAAACAGCTGTTCTTTTTCGATACCAGGACAACTATGGCCTGCTTTCTTTCACTTCCGTTCACCTCCCGGCAGGCGGGGCTAAACTATGACGAAACTTTTTAAGGTGGATCGGTGGAGTTCATGGTGCTGGACAGCAAGCCAGTGGCGGTTCTAAACGCCAAAGGAGCCAAGGAGGAGCCACTGTTTCTATTTGGTAGCGTTTTTTTATGGGGCACAAAACAAAAAAGTAACAACAGCAAAACAAACACAAAAAAAAAAATCGAGGCAAAGGGCCCTTGATTCTAAAGGCCCTTGAGTGAGGGGGACAAAAGGAGAAGAACAGATTTGTCCCGCTATATTTTTGTCCAGCAGTAAAATAAATAATCTTAATGTTCTCCCTCATTTTTCAGCAGTAAATAGTGAAACAAAGCATGAATATATTGACATCCACCCCTCTAGTGAAATTACAATACATTTTTGGTCCTCGCATTCTGGCTGCATCACATCAGGTCTCGCCGTCTTTCATCAGCAGTTCGCTCGTGCCCGTGCCGGGGCTTAAATGCCACAGAAACATCATTGGACGTAGTGACAACGAAAGAAACAAATTAACAAGAAAATGTCTAAATAAGCAGCAGTTTGGTAAAAACTTATGTGGCTGAAAAATGCAGCGCCCCAAAGTCGGGGTTTCAAAAAGGAAGAGGAAGGAAGGAGAAAGAGGAGAGATGGTGAAGGCGTCAGACACGATGACCCAGTTTTCCTGCCCTCTCTTTTTTTTCTCAGAAAAGTTTCCTTAACTGAACAGTTCAAATTAATTCAATTCAGTTTATTTATATAGCGCTAATTCACAACACATATCATCTCAAGGCACTTTACAGTTCAACAGATCATACAGTCAAATTGATTCAAAGTTTTCTATCTAAGGAAAACCAGTTGATTGCATCAACTCTTTGACTCAGATGCATTCCCTCACACTAAGCATGCTTGTAGTGACAGTGGAGAGGAAAAACCCCCTTTTAACAGGAAGAAACCTCCAGCAGAACCAGGCTCAGTGAGAGCGGCCATCTAACGAGGCCGACTGGGGTTCAAAGAGACAGAAGCAGAGATACAAAAAGCAACTGTAAGAGACAGCCCCATCCAGGAAACACACAGCCAGGCAGATGAGTCTGAGCCAGCTCCAATGTTAGAGGATGAAGAGAGCACATCCAGCCAGTCACATTCAGAGATACAGGACTACACTGGAAAAACAGTGTATCGTTTTAACTTTTTCCCCAATTGGAGTTATGTTTATTTTAATTAGATTATCATGATTACTCCTTTGGGAATCTGTGCTAATTTATTAGATTTTGGTCGTGGGCAAGAAACTGTCTGGATGGAGTAATGAGTGGGTAACAGTAGAGAAGCTGCAGAGACATGTGTTAAACTACGACTTAAATTAAATTAAGAATAGATTATTAACCAGTTGAGTAAAATAAGACAGCTATCTGCTGGGTACAACCGCGTAGTTATTCTTCCTCAATGCCGGAGGGGAATCACATTATTAATGATGCTGCTCAGCTGGGTGCAGTCTGAAACAGAGCATGATTGCAAGTTTTTTTTGTTTTGTTTTTTTTTTGTTGATTCTTTTCATTTTCAAGGAAAAACAGGAATAATCCAGCATTTATTGAGCCTATTTGGTATCTATAAATAACAAAAAGGCCAAACAACTACGCCAGAAATCTCACAGAGCTGAGAATTGACCTTTACCAACCAGACCAGGCAACAGGAAAACACCATAGTTATCAGAGGTTTACCATCAGTTAAATGCTAGTAGATGTTAAGCATGATATTTAAATTAAAAAAAATCTGTCAATATTAAAACAGTTTAGTTAGATTTTTATATTTAGATTAAATTACAACATTTAAAACACATCTATAAATCTTGATCATTCTCATGAGCAGCCTGAAGCAGCAATATCAAAAATACATATTCTGTCATTACACACAGATTAATGAAAAATAAGTTCTTAGAACAAGCATAAAAGTTGAGGCACAAATATCGATGTATTTCATGGGGCCCAAAATTCCTGGCGGCCCCCCTGTAAATGAGCCACGAAGCCAAGATTACAGACTCCTGATCTAACAGATTTTTAAAAAAAGTGATCCTACCTTAATACAGCTGGAGCTTAAAGCTAACTGTAATTTCTAATTAATTATGGAAGTAAATTGTAAGTAAATTGTAAAGGCTAAATATTAAATTGGTCAGGGCATATGATCATAACAAACTGATTTAGTATTTAACAGCAAAAACTGGTCTGAAAAAATAAATAAAGCAATCTTGAAATAGGTGTATTGGTCCTTAATTTAAGCAGGCAAATACAGTGATCTACGAAATAAATTTGTATTTTACCCTTACAATAACAAAATTAGATATGATGCTCTTGAAATCATATAATGGAGTTGTGTTTCCCCCCTTATTTTGAAACCTAGATATTTGTATTCTATTGGAAAATTGTCCTAGGCCTACTTACTCAAAAAAGGTAAGATTGATAAATTTTAAGAAAATAAGTCTGAAATTAGTTATGTATTTATTTTTTTTACTTTATTTCTTTTTGCAGAATTTTGCAGTATAGGTTTTTTGTACAAAATACCATAACAGTGCTGGCGACCATTTCTGCAAGGCCATTTGCCTCCATTGGCCCCTGTCTAGACCACCCATGCATCAACCCCATGAAGCCTCTTCAACATTGTGTAACATTGACACAGTTCTAGGTGTTTCGTACCCGAGTTACTCTCTATACAATATGTAACTGTTAGCCTACATTCTCTTTGAAACCAGAATTTTATGACATTTAATGTATTCTGCTACAAAAGCAGAGTTGTAATTTCACACTTATGTTTTTGGAGAGGGCAGATTTCATTGAAGTAAATTGTTGTATTGCAGGTCTTTGATTCTATTTTTTCAAATCTTTTTCTCACAATGCCAACTTTTATTTTTATTGTTATAAAAACAACCTACTAATCTCCCCACTGTCTCTGCCATCTTTCTTTGACCTTTTAATTACCTTTTTAACTCCTTCTCAACTAAAAGATGCTAACATTTGAGAGTTTTTTTCTCATGGATTTTATTGCATATTTATCCAACAATTCATTACCTTGTATTCCTACGTGTGAAGGTAGCAATATTAAAAAACAAAGCAGCAACGTTTTAATCCCATTACTTGAACTCTGTTCATTAAAAGTTACATTTCTAATAAAATGCCTGGTCTGGTGTCTGAATGTTTGTGTGTTAATGAATGTAACAAAATTACATTTGTTACTCGCGGACAGTCCAAGGCTTTAATTCAACTATTTTTCCTTTTGCTGAAAGTTCATCTCTTTTTCTTTTACTTGTTTTAATAATTTAACATCCAGGTCAATGTTTTTATGCATTCATATAACTTGACTGTATCTGTAGTATTTGTTATCTAAATATACTTGTACCGAACATGCATCTAACTTTCTTTGTCTCTTTATTATCCAACAAGATCAGATCAGTGTCTGGTAATAGAGATGTAGGATTTTTATTTCAAACAATTTACTGTATTCTCAGCTAAGATTATTTATTTTCTATCTATCTATCTATCTATCTATCTATCTATCTATCTATCTATCTATCTATCTATCTATCTATCTATNTCTATCTATCTATCTATCTATCTATCTATCTATCTATCTATATATATCTATATATATCTATATATATATAGATATATATAGATATATATAGATATATAGAGATATATATATATATATGCACAGGATACATGCAGAGCTACTTTTGTCACAAAGTTATCTTCAATGTATGCCAATATGTGATATTATGCATAGCAACATTTGGATTATACAGGTGCAAAAGCTTTAATGCCCAGGTGCAGTTCAACATTTTCGAAAATGAAGCCTGGCTTTACTGCTGGCTGTAAACCATATGAGAAAGGAATATGAAAACATTTAATCATTACAAGATGCATTTTCTTTACTTATTAAACTAGCTGGAGAAATGGTAACTCAAGTTAATAATAAACTTTTTGGGTGGAGATTAATGAATTTTATTAATCTCTGGCCAGTCCACATCTGACTTTTATTTTAATGCAAAAGCATTTTTATCCATAAACATATTAGTAGCTCATTTCTATTCAAGGATTGTAAATCATCATTCATTTAAATATGTTTCAAAAACAGAATATTTCTATATAGCATGGATAATTATTCTTTTTTTTTCTTTTGCATTTGATTGTCAATTAATTTTTTTTTTCCTGATATCATAAAGTAATCATTAAAAAAGAGATTTTTCCACAGTTTGCATTTTCACCCAAAAAAATCTGTCCTCCATATTTCTTCAGTACACAGCCTCGCAGGGAGATGTGCAATAAACAGAGTGATGTGTGTTATTAGGAGTTTTACAAGTTTATTCTGTTTTTACTATGTGCAATAATAGGAAAATTTAATTAATATCACCCTTCAAGTTAGTGGCGTTTATATCAATGAAACAATAGTATCTTGACCTTGATTTGGAAAAGCACTGCACCACAAGGGAATGAAGTAAATAAAGTATTGTTTTATGCTGAAAGTTGAGCTTAACAAACCGTTGGTTCAATTTGGTTATCTTTAGAAGCTTAGGCACATAATTACTGTATTAATTAAGAAAATAGGGAAAATAGGGAAATCTTCATATATAATGATTTCAACAACAAAGGGGGAAAAAAATGGGATTTCCAGCTTCCAACTGAGACATTAGGGAAAAAACAACACAATTGATTTCAATTTTAGAAAGAAAATTAAAAAAATAAATAAGAACCAGATTATATGTTTTGTTTCTACTTAAGGAAAATTCAACATCAGCACTTGTTGCCTTGCACTGAGATCCAGTACAACTTGCTGGATTATTCTAATCTTAACTTGACTGATGATGACACGTTGCAGAAAATCAACAGTTCCCATAAACATTTCTGGAAGAATAAAATAAAAGAAAAACTCAATGCCCTCCAGGTTAGCAGCAGACTTATTGAGTTGGTGTTTATTTTAAGTAGCCCAGTCCTTCTTTGTTCCTCCCCTGCATCACCATAGTCACCCACAAACATTAGAAGTTACTCAGCAATGCCCAAGGGCCTCCACTGCTCTGCTGCCTCTGCCTTCTCACCTCATGAGGCATCAGTCTGGAGCTTTTCCTCATTGTCTCTTGGTTTTTTTGTTTGTTTGTTTTTCCTCTTCCCAGTCCCTTTTCCTCTCTCTTTATTTGGCAAGAAAACCAACTTTGTGTAAACATCTCATTTAGAAAGCTCCAGAGGGTCCTGGACTTATAGGTTAAATAGAGGAAAATTATGAAGAATAGAAGAAGGAGGAAGAGGTAAAGGGTGAGGTTGAGGGGGGGCAGCTGCAGGCCTCATTGCTGGATTCGACGCAGTGACTGAACCTGGAAGGACTGAGCATGGGAACCCCACTCTCTGTAATGTTTGTATTCGCCGCCATGGCGGTCGCACTCCATGATGTATTGGTAACCACGGTAACCTGGAAACTGGTAGCACACCCAGCTGTGGGATAAAAGAAGAGGAGTTATCTATAAGTATCTGTTAAAGAGATAAACTAAGTATTAAAAATAAATTAAAAACTGTGGAAGATGCTGAAAATTCAAAACCTTAAGTGTTTTAATTAGACATGGACAACTTTTATTGTCATTTTGTATACACAGAGTGTATACAAAATATGATTTCGTTTGGTACAGCTTTCATGACATTTCCAATTCTTAAAGTGCAGCAGTGACCAAATGTACACAGTGTGGGAGAAAAAAAACATGCGTCAAAGCATTATCGAGAGCCGCCATGATGTCCCTTGTGGTAAATTGTGGTAAAATAAAAGAAAAAGACGTATACAAGCAACAGTTAGATACATGCAACTTATCTGTCAGCTGTGGGGTGGACAGATTTCCTATTTATTCTTATTAATGTGCAGTATACTGCAGGGGGTTTGGCACATTGTGTGTTGCATAGTTGTCTCCTTACTGCTGCTGGGAATAGAAAGACTTGGTTGTATTTTATGTGGGTTTGCACTGTATTATAATCAACCCCAGAACCTCTGTAATTTCCTTTAATTCTAAGTGGTTGCATGTTGTAAAGGAAAAGTATTCAACTCTTTGATTGTTTATTACCAAAAAAAAAAAAAAAAAAAGCAAGGAAAAAAAATGTCAGACTGTAAAGTTAACGGATGTAGTCTATCCAAATATACCTCATGAAATATTCTGTTTTAACTTACTAAATGGTTAAAATTTGGCTTAGGTTTCTATTATATCCCCTTTATCTACCACCTCTTCTCTGGCAATCACGTCGCTCTCAGCACTGCAGCCTGGTAGAGTAAAGATGCCTAAGTGCTCTTGGAGCGGTTCTCATTCATCAGGTTTGCATTCTGCATTTGAAAAACTTAGCAAGGTGGAACCTAAGAGGAAAAGAGGATTTTTTTGTTTTTATATAACTTGACTGTAGCTGTAGTATTTGTTATCTAAATATACTTGTACCGAACATGCATCTAACTTTCCTTGTCTGTTTATCCAACCAGATCAGATCAGTGTCTGGTAATATAGATGTGGGATTTTTATTTCTGTGACATTTGTGCAATGCTTTTGTGCAATGCAGTGGAAGTCCCAACATTTTCTTTTCTCCTCCTTTTTTTTCTGTATCACACCAACCTTTAGCAGAGGGGTTTTTTTTTTCTCCCAGAAAACCTATTTTCTCTGGCTGTGATTTTGCACAAATATCCATAAATTAGGAAATTTCTCTTAAATGCATTCATGGTGTCATATTCAAATGTTGACTTAAGTCTGAAAAGATGATATTTGCATGGTAGAACCAATTTAGGTGCACATCTAATTTTGCATCAATTTTCAAAACTAGAAGGACCCAAAAATATATTTACCTCCGTTATTACTCAGAAATACCTTGTAAATATGTTCTTCCTGGATGCATTTTTAACCCTGTAATGCCAAATGTATCCTATTTGATACATACGGTTTCTGAAATGTTTTGCGTCTGACACTTTTGCATAATTTAATGGTAAAAACTTTGCTCAAAATCCTATTGTACACAATCAGATATGCCTGATAACAGAGGGCAGAAGACTACACAAAAAATAATCTTGACTTATCGCATAGTAATAAATTGCTAATATCAAAAATTTATTTCTGTTTTTTCTTTTTACGTATTTTGTTAAAAGGCCAAATAAGGACTTCAAACCAAAAAGAAGTAATTTTCTGTTTTGTTTTATTCTTGGATCGGGCTTTAAAGGGTTAAAGATGCAGCCGATATCTTACCATGCAAGCAATATGAAGAGTTGCTAGATTTGTGAATTCATAGGCACAGTCCCAAACCAGCCCCTAAACACTAACACTAAGCTAAACCCTGCATCTGCTTGTTATCGCAGAGTTAAGGGCCATTAGGGGCCGTCCCAAACCACATAGTGGGTAGGGTGAGTGGACCGTTCAGCCCTTAAATAGTGAGTCTGCATCATTGCTAGCTCGCTGGAATTTGACAGCGGGTGTAACGGCAAACTAATAGCAGAGGAAAGACATGCATTCAAATATAAGTTCTTCTGGATTGCTGCAGCTCCATCACAATGACAGTAAATAAGTTAGGGAGGGAAAAAAGATGTCATTGATCCCAAAAGGGAAGGTTCTCTTTGAGGCCATATACTTTTTTTTTTTTAAGAATTTGGCAAAATGTTTGATGGCATATCAACCTGCGCTATAGCCAAGCACATGTGGCATCTCTGTGTTGCCATAGCAGCGACTGCTTTTCTTTTCTGTTGGAGGAAAGAGGCTGTCCCATTCTTATTTATTCCACCCACCATCACTTAAGCTGCCCTCCAAAGCTGTGAGTGTGACTTCCCTGGGAGTTAAGGGGTAGTTCATAGTGGGTGGTTTGGGATTGGGCAACGAACCTCTGAAAATCAATGTTGTTAGAAGCTAAAGAAGCATTAGCCTCAAATACAGAAATGTTTCGAACCAATGAGATGCGGTGATGTGTATGGCATCACCAGATGCATCAGACTGAAGCAAAACAAACATGGCTGTGCCAGTGGATGTACTTATAAACAATATGATCCGTGTTAGCTGGAATAATTTCTTTTTGGAAAAAAGAGCAAAAGGACACAACTTGTGCCTTTGTGGAAAGATGGGAAATGTTTGTGTGTTCCTACCGACTGGATTTGATTTACCAGTTAACTCCACTAAATGTGAAACAAATCAAGAATGTGATACGTCACAATATGCGATTGGCATGAGAGGCAAGTGCCACATGGTGATTTACCCAATCAGCTGGGAGAGTATTACTGAATGTTCCTCCACTTTTGGCAACACTGGAAAGGAGCCTTTCCAGATGGATACTGTGTAGAATTCAAATTGAACTACATGTATTAATCTGGTTTATGCTAGGCTATCTGATATCACCCTTTGTGTTTAGAGGTGCAATCCTTCCAACACAGGCAGGTATCAACTGTTTGAATGCTATGATCACATTGTATGCATTTAGAAGTTGACACTTACGCTCCGCTCTGAACTTGCATGGATCCAATCTCATTTTTCCCCCAGCCCATAGCCTGCAGGGAGGGGTAGTCATCATTTATCTCCCACTGACGACCCATGAAGTTCTCCCTCTCAAACACCACAATCTTGGACTCCTTATGGTTCTGCTTTCACAAAGAAAAAACAACGGTTAGTGTAACCCAACTCAAGGTCAACCCTACTTCATTTTGCATTGCTCTTTACGTGTTTCTATGTTAATGGCTGCTTTGAATTGCTATTTTATTGATGTAAGTCAATTTTGGTTAGAGTGGAAGGGTGATTCTTAGATATTAATTTAATATTGTTTAAAGAGTGGGCAAAAGCTGACAATTTGGGTGAGAAACGCACAGCACAGCAGATGGGCCGAAAGGACATCATCCTCTCGATGTGGTAGGCATTGCTGCCACTCCATGACTCCCAGTGAGGATACTCTCCTCTCTCCAGCACAAACTGCTGTCCACAGAAGCTGGAGTGCTCATATCCTGCCCAGCTGTTCAGCAGAAAGACACACAAACACCGCATGATGCATCATATTAGAATATTGGGAAAGGAGATATTTAATCTACTCGTCTTGTTTTACTTTCCACTTACGCCCCACACTCCACCTTGAGCGAGCGAATGTTGTTGATGCTGCACTCCATGATGTTCTGACAGGCTGAGGTGAACTCCACACGCTTGCCCTGGAAGTTCTCCTGGTCATAAACTGTGATCTGGAGAGAACATGTCGCATGTATACTCACAACTGTATGTAATTTGCTTTTAGCAATACTCAGTAACAAATAATCCGACTCACCTTCCATGGTCCCAGAGGGTTGGGATTATTTAATGCCATCCTACTGTGTATTTGTATCTAAAGTCCCTTTAAAACAGATATAGAGATATGTGCAAAGGGTCAGAATTATGTCATATTTCAAATTGGTTGTGTGTAGAATACATTGCATGTTTTAGGTTTGCTGAGAGCATCAGTCTAAATTTAAACCTGCCTGTTGGGTTTTACTCTTTACTCTCAACCCTGCAGGTTGGATGTAAATACTATGTCCAAATGCTCTGCCAGCGCTCAGTCCATGCATGTCCCTGTCTGACTTCTATGTGTTTGTATGACTCAGCAGAATGGCTGCGCAAAGAAAGCATAAAAAATATAGCACATCTTTGACCTGCATATTTAGGACTGTGATAAAAGACTTACCAAACTTTCCTCCAAATAATAGTTGCTCAGCACTCACAGGAGCTTCCACAAAAAGACGTCCTAAACTCCAAAATGAACAGGGCCTTTTTATACATGTTGGTGCTGAAATGTAACCAGATAGGTATGGGTCGGGGCAGGAGTCAGCACATTATTGGTCCTCTTCATTGTTTGGTACTGAGCTATTGGGCTTTAGTGAGCTGCAGCTGGACTGAACGGAGGGCACTGTGCCCAGTGCAAATAGGCAGAAGTTTTAAAGGATTCATGTCCAAGGGGCCGGGCCGAGTTCTGGCACAGCAGAGATCAGGAAAAAGGTCCCAGTTAGGTCATGACAAGTGAAACTAACCATCATCAACAACAATAAATAAATAGATAAAAACAATAAAAAATAATTACAGATTTGATCTATTTTAGAGTGGAAATTAGAGTTGATAAAAGATCTTTCCAAAATAAAAATAAAAAATCCAGTTTAATCATCTATCCCTTTGTAGTCGTTGCTTATTACTATCATGCCCTTCATTTCCAGTCCTTTCATCTCTGAATGTACATCAGTCACACTCTCTCGCCTAATGACTGGACTGAAACATACACATTCAATCAGGGTTCAGATATCTATACACAAAATATCCAGAAATGTTTACAGTCAGGCATGTATTAGTACAGACAGGTGGCCATTAACATGCCTGTGGGAAATGTGTGAAATCTCTAATGTAATCATTATGTCCAGTGGCAAAATATAAAGGCTACATTAGATTCCGGGCAAAACACAACAGTTATGAAATGCCAGAGAATTGTTATTTTTTGTCTTGATTTGTGAGACTTTTAGTTAAGATTTATCTGTGTTCTGTCTGTGCTTTAGGTTTTTGACTCTTTACTTTTCTTTCAGCCTTCTTTAGTCCATCCTGTCCACAGTTGCAGCTCTTTCTATTGATTACGCTTAGCTTGTCCTTTTTCCAGCAGTCTTCCACTTGTGTTAAAGTTCCATGCTGGTAATCTTTCTGCATCTGCCATTTTGCTAGTGTTTTTTTTTTTTTTTTCTCTGATTAAATCAAAATTCAGTTTAAAAAAGTAGCCCATCTGACTTTTTTTGGAAACAAGCTGGAATGTTTAATTTTTTGTATCCAGCTGGGTAGTGATTATGTTAAAGTTGCCTCTTTTATTTCTGTTGAAATTTTCTGTTATACAGCTAACTAGAGGTGCAATTACAATAAATCAGCAACAAATGGATTTGGAATCAGTTTTAGGATTTCACAACGTATGCAAGTCAAACTCTTAGACATCTAATGTATAAATCTAACTAACACAATAAACTTTTTGTATTTTTCATTACAGTTTTCTGATTAAATTCTATGTGTTTCTTTTTGGATTACCTTTTTAATTAATCATTCTTGTTTTGTTAAGTGTAATTTAGATTTTATATTTTGTTTTAATAGATTGATATGTCTGATATGAACTCACACATGGCAAGTCGGTTTGGTTTTTTGATTTATTGATACATGAATTAAAATTGTAAATGGAGAAGTGTCTTTTGTCTTTGTGATTAAAATTGCTTTGATAAAAAAACATATATAAGTGTGAAAAACTATTTGATTGGGATTCAAACTGAATGAGATGCTAGTTAAGCATTTAACTGCAAATAACATATTTTTTTAACCTTTTTTTTCTGTGAGAGTTTTTCTGTCTCATCATTTTTAAATTACATAAGAGTTAACTCTGTACATAGATTGTTCCACAACAGGATGTATGGTAGTGATGTGAGATAGCCTGACTAACCTTTGTTTATGCACAGCTTCAAACACAGTAGATGATGTACAGTGTAGATGTCTGGACCAAAGGGGTGTGTCATATGCAGAAAGAGTCCTACATTTAAAATAAGCACTTTAATCTGAACAGATCCTTTTTTATGAGATAAAAAACGCATTTGTCCCAGTTTTTTGATTGTGCTAAAATTGACGGCTCCACCTGTTACAATGCCTTACTTAAACCATCCTAGATCTATTATGTTTCAACTGATTTAGTACTAATTTGCTGCAGTTATAGTAAAGAAGTTGTCAAAATGACTTCCAGGACTCTTGGTTAAAAAAACACTCTAGACAAAGGTAAAAAAAAAAAAAAACATATTGTATTTGTTTCAACAGAAATAAACCAGATATAGTAACATATGTGATATCTATTCCATTGGAAAAATTCTATTCTTTTATTCTCACACTGGTACCAGAAGGTTGAATTAAGACTTCATGGTGGTTGAGCCAATCTTGATTTATTTCAGTTGTTTTTTTTCAGGCAATGATTGCTTCTGATAACCAGACGATAAATGCAAAACAGGTAGACTGCTGGCCTTAGTCATTAAGTCAGAAAATTATACAAAATGCTGCTGCCAGAGTCCTGATTAGCACTGGGGAAATTACTCAGAATACACTCTTCTTAAAATTATGCTCTGACTACTTGTTTCTAATAGGAATCATTATTCCAGCATTCAATAATTTTTTACATTGAAAGTCAGGTATGAAATGCATCTAAGAGATCTGTTCCTTCAGTGCTTTTGGGATGTGGCTCAAACCCCAATCAGCAGTAGTTTTGTATGTTTCTTCTTCCCAAAAAACCTGAAATGTTTTCATTCTTCAATTAATTTTGATCATGTCTTTGCTTCTCATTTGTTTTTAATTCAGATTTAATCTCTTTAATCGTATTTAATGCTTAGATTTTTAACAGCTCTTCCAATATTGGACCTGCTTTTCATAAAGGCCATAAAGTAAAAGCGAGACTCCAGCACCACTGAAAAGTGTCAGCCATTCCCATGTCTGAACAAAAGAAACTCCGTCCCATTCCACAGTCAGCACATTTACCATCCCGGGGCTCAAAGGCTTAGCTGCAAATGTGAAAGTAAAAAACAAATGTGGGAAAATAGAAAAAAAATATCATCACAAAGTACATGTTGGAGATGACAGAAGAGTTAAATCAAAGATAAAAAAAAAGGTTGAAGATGTTGAAGAAGGTTCAAAGCCTAAGATTAGAGGTTTGAGTGTGAGTTCACATGTTCTATGAGCTTGCCACCAACTTTCTGCTGATGGCAGTGACTGTCCTTAGCCCCCAACAATGTGGCCATACAATAACCCCCCCACCCCTGCTGACTGAGCACAGATCACCAATGGATTACTAAAATGACCTTTGGCCCACCACCGTGCTCCCAGCATTTCTGAGCCAATGAGATGCCTTGATAGATTCGCCCATGAGGTGAATGTATATATATATATATGTGCAGTCAGAAGGCCTCCGTCCATCTCTGTCTTCAAGGTCGGTCCATCACAGCCTTCAGTTGTGACTGTAAGTGTCCACAGCAATTTCATCTGACTCTTTCTAGTAAAAATGCTTGGATATTAGAAAGGATACTGTGGTTTACTAATTGGGCAGACTAGAACAACCAAGCCAAAATGGACTTATTTCAAATTTATTCTTTACCTTTGGACTGAGTATGTGGATTACTTGCATAAATTGCAGTGTATTATTCAACACTGATTTGTTAATGCAACATAAAATCAGCAAGGATGATTACCTTAAAAACTGGATCCTGGACAAAACAATTCTGAATCTTCTGCAATGAGAAATTTTTGGAGAATAATACGAATCCAACGACAGGGAATTTGCTTTTGCTATGGGTTTTAGAAGTTTTTCTGCAAATGCAAGTAAAAAAACATTCCCATTGAAGGTCTGGTTTGTTAAAGTAAATGATATTTGTTACTTTTTTCCTTAACTTCTCTTTTTGAGTGAGTCTTTCTGAAACACACTGGAAATTTTTCAGATGCAGAACTTATACAACTTTAGGCATATATATATATAAAAAAAAAGAAATGATCATGTGTAACACAGATCAGGAAGGCAGTAGCAACTTTTTCCGCTTTATTAATATTTTCTAGCTTGAAGAGAAGACAAGAGAAAAGGCACGAATCCTGTGTGTCAGTGGTCAGTATGTTTTATCTCTGTCAGGTGTGTATGCAGGTGCAGGAGAGCACCTTCAAAAGGCAATATCACAGGATAAAACACTGTCTTTACCATTACTGTGCATGAATTAGTAGTAATTTTAGTATAAATGAAAACAAATATAACAGAAAGAAAAATGTTTCTATAATGCTAGTTATTTGAAGTACTCTGATATGTGCATGTCCTACTCTATTTTCTTCAGTTTTCAATTGTTTTGTAGGATGCATAAAGAAACCACATTGCAGCAAACTCTTACTCAACTTTATGCTTGTAAAAGACATTTTTTGTTTTGTGATTCCTTTCTCTTTAGATTGATCATGTCTCACTCAGGTGCTCAGGGCAGTATTGGCAGTCACCCTGCTATTGGCCTACGCAATCACAAGGTACTTTAAAAGCTAGAAAATAGTCCTAATTCCAAACAAATTTTTTTTCCTCCATTTTTCCCTGTCTTGTTTTTTTTTTTCAGATATACCTCTATGAATATGAAAACTTCCGAGGCCGTAGGATGGACCTGTTTGGAGAGTGCAATAACCTGTGTGAGAAAGGTTTCAACAGAATTGGCTCCATCAGGGTAGAGTGTGGCCCGTAAGTCTTCAAACTTGTCTAACTGACTATAATTTAATGTAATATAGTGGACACAACGTACTTCTATCACTTTAAACAGGTCTGCTCATTCTCCTCTGACATACACAAGGCATTTTTTCCATCCAGAAAGCAGCTGCTTACTGGATGATTTTTGTTTCCTGGGCAATAATGTAAACCTGAAAATTGGCTGAGTGGGAAAATCCCAGTGGATCAGCATGCCACAGTCAACCACTGCCCTTTCTATCCCATTCTGATGCTCAGTTGGAAATTGAACAAGTCATCTCCACCACGTCTAAATGGCAAAATACATTGAGTTGGTGCTGTGTGATTGACTGGTAACCTGTTTGTTTTAAAAAGATACTAAACAGATGCTAAAGTGCCTCTCTTTCTCATTATGCAGCTGGGTCGGCTATGAGCAGCAGAACATGACAGGTGAGATGTTCATGTTGGAGAAGGGCGAGTACCCCCGCTGGGATACCTGGTCCAACAGCTACCGCTGTGATCGCATGATGTCAGTCAGGCCAGTTCGAATGGTACGTTCACACCAGCCTATTTATACTCCTTTCTATTCCGTTCATCAGCCCCTCATCTAATCCACCACTTTTTGAACTGTCTATTTGATGCATTATGCTTTTGAACAGATGCTTTTAAGAGTGTATTTTAAGACTCCTTCATTTGTGATTATTTTTGCTTAAATGTTTTTTTTTATGTAATGTTTCTAAATGTTGCTTGCTGAATCTATTTAAAACATCAAAAGCCTCCACAATAAATGACCAGTATACTTTTTTTAGGATCCCCAAGATCACAAGATTTGCCTGTACGAAGGAGCAAACTTTGAGGGCCGTAAGATGGAAGTGTGTGATGAGGATATTCCAAGCCTGTGGTCCTACGGCTTCCAGGATCATGTCGGAAGCATTCAAGTTACTGGTGGAACGTAAGTCATCTCTCCTTTTCTTCTTCTTCTTCTACTTTTGTTTGTTTGTTTTACTTATATTAGTTATCTATGCCCCAGTATAGGCACCTGTTTGGTCACGTTTAGAAGAAGATTACAGAAAATGACTAATATTAAGGGAAAACTTTCCCATTTAGTGATATTAAAAACTAAAAAGCATGAAGGTAGTTTGTTATACGTGGCTTCCTACAATCTTTACTGTTAGAGAAACTTAGATTGGGTCTTACTGAGCTTTTCTGTTTAGGTGGACTGCAATGTTTTTGTAGGTTTCCAGTTTTGCAATGTTCTCCCCATTTGAAATTATTCTTTTATGACCAAAATCTGATTTAAACTTCTTCACAATGTAATTCAGAACCTGCCTTCTGTGTGCCTTTGTCTGTAAGGTGGTGTTTGTTCAATAATGCTCTCTAACCTCTCTAAACCTCTGATGCCTTACCAGAAAATCTGGTTTAAACTGATATCAAATTCATACAGACTCTATATCATAAAAAGTAGCCTTCTTAAGGAACACTTTGAATATTTTCAGTTAGGAAAACACAAGTTGAAGCCACACTTTCCAGACTGTTATCTGAACATTTTAAAACCCATGCATCATTTGTGTTTCACTTCACTATTATGTACTTCATAATGTTGATCTACCACATAAAAGCCTGATAAAATAAACAGAAATTTTTATTTACAACGTGCACAATACTTTTACATTAGATAAAAACTTAAATAAAATATAAGTAATATCTGTTTCTCCTCTTCACACAGCTGGGTGGGTTACCAATACCCTGGCTATCGTGGCTACCAGTATGTGTTAGAGTTCGGACCTTTCAAGCATTGGAATGAGTGGGGAGCCACTCACCCTCAGATCCAGTCCATCCGCAGGGTGAGAGACATGCAGACGCACCGCCGGGGCTGCTTTGAGCTGACACCATGAATAAGAGAAAAACAGACTGAAAGTCAACATTAGGGATGTCACCAGAGCTGAAATTTTCCGCAAGGACAGCTATAGTTGTTTATCTTATGTTTAATGAAAAGACTGGATGCTTTAAGGTCAATGAATGACTAAGAGTTATGTGATAAAAAAAGAAACAACTTAAACAACACATGCCCATACTTCAAGACAAAAAAAAAAGATTATGTTCTATTTCCAAATGGGGGATAATAGGGTATTGGTAGCATCTGTTTACAATGTTCTTTTTTGTTTTGTTTTGGGGTTTATTTGCATGCAACCTTTTTTCACCTACTTTCTTATGAGTTTCAAGCTGAAACAATGTCAATGAAGCAGACCTCTCCATCTTTCTAAAATTACATAGGTTTGTTTACCATATCACAGCTTAGAGGGCAGTAGCATGGACAGTTCTCGGGTTAATACTGCAGTAAGCTTGTAAGGTAGGGGGAGGCACTATCTCCTCATCTCCAAGATTGAACCCAGATATCTCACAGCCCCAGAGGGCTGCACAGAGCTATGGTTTACTGAATCTATATCCTTTTTCCAGCCTGTAGATGGGGCTGTCCTGAAGTTTTAAATTTTACATTTTCTCAGGGATGCTGGCATCTGAAAGCAATGTTCTTATGGAAATCAAATGAATGAAAATAAAACATCTGAATCTATTGCTTTATTATTGTTATTATTATTGTTGTTGAACTGTTCATATGTTATTGTCTATAAGGCCTTTTTCTAAGATTTTTCTTTCCAAATAGAACACATAGATTTAAAAATGCCGAAAAATGTAGAAAACCTATTGAGCTTGTTGAGAGTAATAATAGGGTAAGGTC